TTGTTTGCTCTCTGTGCGAAAATTATAATTAAAGCAAAATACACACATACACACGGATTAGATTCATATAAAAAAATAAAAAAAAGAGGAATCACAGGCGTAAATGGAAGTCTTGAATAAGAAAACAAAAAATGAAGATCATTCATACATATTTGATGATTCTGCTAAGACACGTTGGATTTCTTCTTGTACAGTAAAATCAACGGATAAGCTACGATGACGATAAAAAAGAACATAAGCATCAGATCGTACGAGATCTTTAACATTTGTAAGTGATGAAACACGTTCATCATCAAAATTACGCCAACCTATATTAATAAATAATTTCTTATTTTAATTCATAAAAAAAAGATGATGTTTTCTTTACCAATCTCTGTTTTTGCTGAATCATTATTCGCTAAAAGTCTTGCGTAGGATGTATAATGTCCAAACCATGCACTACCACGATGATTAACAATTCCATAAAGATCATAACGAGATTGTGATAAATCATTAGATTCAGGATTTTCTTCTGGTATTGATGAACAATATGGGCCCATATTAAGGTTACTAAAAATAAAATAAGCACGTTTTTTCTCATTAGAATCTTTTTTTAATTTCTCCAACATACTGAACTGGATATTTAACAGTTGTATCAAGTTTTTCTCGTGAACTAGATATATAACCACCAAGTGATGATGAACAATGATTATATTTGAATCGTTTAAGATGTATAATAAGTATTGGTGGTAAACGCCAAACAGACATTTTCTTTTCAGCTTGAATATGTTCTTTACAATGTGGACAATACCATTTATCATCAGCACCTAATACTTCTGGTTCAATAAATAATTGTAAACATTGTTGAAGTGTAATCTCTTGATCTTTGAAAATAATTGATTATTAATATAAAATTTAAAACAAAAGATTTATAATATACCTCCGCTAAGAGAATTAAAAACACTAGCATCTTCAATAAGATCATTAATTCCCATACGATGTATTGATGGTATAACACGTAATGGTGCATCGATTTTATTATCAGTATACCAATCAATCGAAAATGTTGTATGACCACGTAAAACATTATTAGCATCATCACCTACGATAGACAGAATGAAAAATTTCTTCATCTTTCATTATGATATATTACTAACCAGGTTCAACAATTGGTTCTACGTTATTATTTTGATTATTAATTGGTCGAGGCATAATTCGAAATAATGGTTGACTACCATATATATCATCTAACATATCAAAATCTTCACTACTACCAATACTCTCACTATCACCATTGACAATCATTGGTTCTTCATCATTATTTTCATTTGTAGATATATTTTTGAGTATTTTATCTTTTCGATCTTTTTCTTGATTATGACGTCGTTTATTTTTATTTGTTTTTACTAAATAATCCCCAATACGACATATTGACCAAGAATCAGATGATGAAAGTGTCTTTTTTATCGTTATCCAATCAACATTTTCAATATCACTAAAGCTAAAGAAATAACGAATAAATATTATTCTGTCCTAATCATTAACTGCGAAAGACAAATGTTTTTGAATATGTTATAACGTTTTCATGAAAGTATTCGTACATCATCTGATTTATATTTCCACATTATGATTAAACCGCAAATGATAAAAATATAATTGAATACACCTCGACTGATAATGAATGTATTTAGGTCAATACAAACGATAGATACGCAGTTATTTCTTTGTTAATTGATAGAAAAAAGAAGGCAACAGATGATATTGTCATTAGTTTTTGCCTTTTCAAATATAAATTTGGTTCCATTAAAAAAGAACGACGAATATTTGGTATTTATCTCGTTAATAATAAAACGGGACTCGATCTTTTAATAACAGATGCTGTCTAAAGATATTTTTAGCTATAGTTCTCGTACTTAATGATTGATTATATATATGTTAATTCTAGCATTTAATGTACATTACACGTAGTAAAAAAAACTATGATACGAAGAATCTTCTGAACTGTAGTGATATAACTAAAAACCATAGATAAATCATTTTACCTGTCTTCCTCATCATCATCATCGGTAACTCTATCATAACCATCAAAACCTCGATTATATCCAAATGATTGTTGAGTTCGTTTTGAACGATCTATATGAATATCTACATATCGCCTACAAAAAGAAAATTTCAATTAAACCATTCTTATCTTTCGAAAAAATATCTATTTATCTAAACATACTTAGCGTGAATATTAATTTGTTCAAATACATTTTCATATGTTAATTTTGATTCTGGCAATGAAATAATAAATGGATTACCAATATTTTCAGAATTATCTTTTGAACGATATTCACACATATTTCGATGATCAGATTTATGAAAATCTAAGCATTGTCTATAAATTCGAATTTAGAAAAGAATAATTTCAAATAATAATAATAATAAACTAACTCGTCACAGTATGATACTTGATAACAGTTTTTACAAAACTTTGGTGTACTATGTGGATTTGGTAATGCTTGGCAATAAGCACATGATGATATATAATCAGGTATTTTAAAAATACGTTGAAAAAAAGTTAATGTATGAATTGTTTCATTATCACAGTCAGCACTTGTTAATATTTCAGCTCTAGAAGAGAGAATATTTATATTTAGATAAAGTATTTATTCCTTTTTAGTCAATCACAAAGTGTCTATTAGTAAAACCTATCTGAATCTCAAAACGTACATTATCTCATTATAGATGAAAGCAGAAATATTGATCCCAGTACGCCTTTATAGATTCTTCTTCAAATGGCATAAAGTCTCATTTGGTGATAATACTTTCGTATCATAGATTTAATAACTTACATATAAATAATATCAAAAGTATTCCATGAACAAGTACTACTTGTAATTCGATCGTCATCTTTAAGATATTCTATATTACGATTTCCTTGAAGTTTATATGCTAACATCTAAATATATATCTATATAATTCACAATTAATAAAAAAGCTAAATTGACAAACTTTAGCAGTTGATAAACCACATTTATCAGATAAAAGACGTTTAAATTCTGTAATTGATCCGTCTGCTGACATAATAATACGATACTAAATCAGAACAAATTGTTAATTAAATATTTATTTAATAAAACAAAATTAAAATATAAACCTTAGTTGATGATTTTTCATCGTTTCGGAATGTTACAATTGTATCAACAGCTATACGTTTTGGTAACGGTACAGAAAGTGATGTAAATGGATCAAATGTAACAGATTCCTAAAAGAATTTTTTAATAAAAATAAACTTCTGTTTTCGTTTAACAAACTTTAAGACATTGTGGGCATTTTGTTTTCGATTTAAATTGTCCAGTAAATAATTCTACAATTAATGAATCATTGCGAGATAAATAACCACGCCAATATTCATCAGCAAGAACCTATTTCAAAAAAAAAGCAAGATATGTATAATTAAATATGCATTTATATATTTACATAATCAGGACGATTTTCATCTTCAATAGGTGGTACTTGAGGTTTATTCTGAACTCGATTAAGATCCTGTAATAGAAAAACAAAATCTAAATATTTAAAATTTTTATTCAAAACAAAAAATCGTACCTCATGAATAGCATCTAATAAAATTGTTAATAATTCTTGTGCATCATGTTGTCCATTACCAACAAATTCTTGATGTCTTTTAGCTACATAATCCTAATAGTATTCAAATTAATATTTACTACGAAAAAAATTAAATTAAACGAACTCTCAATCGATTTGCATTGATATGATTATATGTTCCACTCCAAAGATTTTTTATAACAGTAGCAAATTCTTCTGCCATTATACCTTTCATACCAAGTGGATTTGTTCGATTTAGTTCAACACAATAATATGATTCTATTGAAATTGAAATTAAATTATTCAGAATAAAATAAAAATCTTAAGAGATTGTTTTTTTACTTAAGAAATAATCTCGTAATTCACGTGTATTTGATAAACACTGTAGAGCAGCGTTCATAAAACATGAATTTGCCGGATTATATATTCCAGTATAACCGATGGATGATGTTACACTTGGTGATTGTGTTATATCTTTATGATAAAATGATGATCCAGTAGGAAAATTATCTGACTAAAAAAAATAAGACGAAATTTCGTAATGAAAATTAATTAGTAACTAGTTTACCATTCGATCCATCGTTAAGGCTGGTAGTTTACCAGTAACTAAAATAAAGGTAAAAAAATTAGATAAAAATTATTCAACTGGACAATGAAACCATGGTTGAATTAAAACGATATATGAAATCATGCTAATTTAGTTAATCATATCAACATGCAGATCTGGCGAGATGAGAATCTATTGAACTCGATGGAATTTTGTTTTTCTATTTAAATATGATAGTTGTTATTCCAGAGAGATCGAAGCATGGAGGTAAATGCTGAACGCTAGGACTTTCTCTCTTGCAGAAGTCATTTTGATATTTAATTAATCGATAATGACTACATATTGGATATTTGATCTTATACGTATTCAAATGCGATCATCAGGAAAAAAGTCTAGTTTGATTCCTATCATATATTGCATTAATCTATATATTTTTAACTATTAGTTATTTAGCAAAAGTTATTTTTGCTTGTTAAATATCAGTCATACAATATTGTCCAACCTTTATCTCTTAGAATTGTTTGTTGACCTGCAGTTCTTGCGAAAATTTCCTGATCTGCAGTTCTTGCAAAGGTTCCATGACCTGCAGTTCTTAGAAAAGTTTGATGACCTGCAGTTTTTACAAAAGTTTCATGACCTGCACTTCTTACAAAAGTTTCATGGTCTTAAAAAGGAATATTTAAAAATTAAATTTTGATATTAATATAATACAGAAAATTTTAAATAAATCTTCTAATTTTTACCTCGGGTTATTCTATTATATCCACCTTCATCTGTTTCTGATCGTGGATGACCCAATACTGCTGATGATGTTGCATGTGAATTATTGATATCGGAATATTCATTTGGTTCAAGTTGATACCATTTTGTTTGATGTTCACTATCTTTAATAAGATAAATTTCAATATGCACCGGTGTAATTTTATAATGACATTGTTCAGAATTAATACGTCCTTTAACACGAACAACTAATTTAATTGGCACCGTGGGTGATATAGAATGAAGTTGATGAAAATTTTCATCTCTTAAAAAAAATTATTTTAAAAATAAATTTAATCTATTCAAAGAATTGCAAACTTTGTATGAAAGGTAACGGTAAAATTTGTTTCCGTAAATTGTACATGACAATTATATACGTCTCTTATCGAAAAATGTACTATAACTCTATTATCATATGTTTCTTGAAAACTAGATGGTAT